ACCTCTCTGTGCACACGCTGCTATCATTTCATTCAGAAAAAAAACCACCTGTTTTCATTTATACCCCACACTGTATCCTCTTAAAGAACAGGAGTCCAGCACAATGACAGCGGAGCTTTTGTCCAGTTTTGGCCTGCGGGTCTGCAGTTTTATCATAAGCATTTATTTGCTGCTGCTCCCCCAGCTGCAGTTTGAGCTCTTATCTAAAGTACCTTTAATGCAGATAAACAAAACAATATCAATCCACATACAACCTGGATGAAAGCTCAATCATTTCCTGCCTTTAACAGTGCCTCCCTGGGTCATTCAGCTCCTGTTGTGCTTCTGAGGCCAGAGATTCTTCCACTAAAGCACGGCGCAGACACTATCATGCACTGCAGTGCTTCTTTGGTGAGAAAGTCCTCATGGAAACCGAGGCTGTTTGATGGTTCAGCACAGGAGGGCCCTTCAGTCCCTCACATCAGCCACCCCACCCCCCCACGGCAGGCGCAGCAGAAGCAGCTTGGAGCAGTTTGCTTACGGACAACACAGACGTTTAGATCTGCAGCTCCACTTCAATACGCAGACAGCTCCAAAAGGATGACGGCACTCACAAAACCCGCAGCGGTTCACAACTGCTAAAATGACCCGAAGCGCGTTACTGCAACCCCGCGTTTCTGGAGCCCTGCTCGACCTGCATCGTGTAACACCCGCAAAACAACTCACGGGACCCTGCGGCGCCGATTCCCGTCGTCGTTACAAAGACCTCAGCACAGCTCGGTTCCTCTTTCCGCCGGAGCTTCGGCCGCAAAGCGCAGCGCCGCGTCCCCAACAGCGCCGCACGGAGCAGCGAGGCGCCAGCGGCGCTCCGCCCAGCAGCGCCGGGAATGGCGAAGCCGCACCTCGGAGAGCCCCGCGCGGCCCGACCCAACCCCGGCCGCTCCCTCAGCTCCGCGCAGTGCCCGGGCCGCGGCCAGGAGAGCGGCACTCGAGGTTGCCCGCCCGCCTGCCCCCCCGCGGCCCTCCCCTACCTTTCCGCCTGAAGAAGGACATGGTGCCGGGGAGGGGGCAAAGCGGCCGCCGGGAGGGAGAGAGGAAGGGGCGGGGGGACGCGGGCAGCGAGCCGGGCTCCCTATGAATGAGGCGCCTTCCCCCGCCCGCCGCCGCCTCTCCCTCCGCCTCTTCCTCCCGCGGAGGCGCCAGCGGCCGCCATGTTGTCAACAACCGCCCCGCTCCCTCTTCCGGCCGGCGGTGCGCGGAGCCTGTCGGGATGCGGCCGCTCCCCCCCGCCCTCGGGCGGCCGGCCAATCCGCGGCGCGGGGCGGCCATCTTAGAAGAGGGCACGGAGCGGGGCGGCCATCTTAGAAGAGGGCAACGCGCGGGGCGTCGAAGCGCGGCGCCATCTTGGGAGAGGGCGGAGCGCGGCCCGGCCGGGCGGGGAATGCAACCGGGCGACTCGGAAAGGCCGGATCACCGAGGTGCGGCCTCAGAATGCCCTCTTTGGCCGCGAGGAACGGGGCGGAGGAGCCCGCGTCCTTCATAGAAATCCCGAGTTGTCCGCCATGCGCTGAGCTGGGAAGGGCTCCGTCTGTGTTCAGCCGCACCGGCGGTTCTAACGCTGGGGGGCGCTGTGCGGTGCTGTGCTGTGGGTCACGTGGGTCCTGCGGTGCCGCCAGCCCGGCTCTCGCTAATTAACACTCATTAATTGCATAAGAGCTGTGCGGGGACCTGCGCGGCGCTGCCGGCTCTCAGGCAGGAGGCACAGCTCGGCAGCGCTCTGCAGCTTGTTCGCTTTGAATGTTATTTCTGCTAACTGGTGCTCTTTGATACGGCTCTGTGCGTGCCCAGAGGCCAGCTCGAGGAAGGTGATTTGCATAATGAGCCGAATTATTTAATTAGTGCGTAACCGGAGAGGTTGGTAATAAAGTCAAATATCCAGCAGGTGAACAATCAGAAGGAACGGGGTGAATCACAGAGGGGAGGTGAAATGAACATCTGTCAGCATTGGAACCCAGAGCTGCACCCCAGCCTGACCTCCAGCACCCCCAGGGCAACGCACAGCTGCCAGCTCTGCCCGTGCTGCAGTGCTGAGGGGCTCCAGGCCTGCGGGTCACCAGGAGGTTTTCACTGTGTTTGCTGGGGTTGAGGCAGGATGTGCTGCATTGCAGAATCACGTGCTGGCTGAGCTGCCGCTGCTGGTGAACATCCTATGGAAGCCTGATCCTTTTTTTGACACGTCTTCCTCCTATTGCCGGGCCCGTGGGTCACCACTAACACAGTTGTGTGGTGGTGGAAGTGAGCAAGCAAGCTTTCTAAACAAACAGCTTTGGTTTGGATGTTTCTGTTCAGTCAGCCCGGACCCTTCCATGCTGGGACACGCAGTCCCAGGAGGCTGCGCTGCCAGCTGTGAGGTGGCTGTTTTGCCATCAGGAAGGCAGGGCTGGAAGGGACCCGGCCAGCTGGCACCGTGCTGTTGGGAGGGTAAACTGTAGGCATCCCCCATCACACCTGATGAAGAAGACCTTTTATTTTGCAATTAACTTTCAAGCGGCGGCTCCTTTTCCAACAGACTAATCCAAAATCTGTCAAAGGCCTCGGGATAATTCAATTATCTTTTTATCAGATCCTAGATAATTGATGAAACCTCGAGCTACAAGCATGTTTGGCATGAATTACATTTACTGGACTGAAATTATCTCCCCCTTTTGGGAATGTGCAGAAAGGCTGAAGCTCCAATCCACGGTTCATCTTTCAGCCTCAGACCCTGGAGATTGGAACGGGGAACATGAGAAGCATCAGGTTATGGAGTTTGTAACAGAACATGACAGATTAATTAACGGAGTAATCAGTTGAAATATGACTTCAGGACATAGGTTGGCCAACATCAGAGCTGTTCGAGGACACCTCCCTAAATTAAACTATTCAAAGGAAAATAGAAAGGTATCATTGCTTGGTAATATTTCCCTCTCTATAGCTTGCAAACTAAACAAGCTTTTGTACATGAAAAGATTTACGTGGGATGTGCTTGTTTGGACAGAATTAATAAAGCAGAACAAGACTTTGTTGATAGCTTGGTGTCTTTGACTCACAGATAATTAATCACAGGGAACTGCCCAGCTCAATTACAGCACTCAAAAACCACATGTATAACAAACCGTGTTTTGGGCTTTTTCCAGTTCTCACAAGAGAACAGAATGAATGAGAACCGAAGGGACAGAACAGACACTCGTTTACTTACACGCATTTACGTGGTGTTGGGATTCCATCTCATACGTCGATTTCTCACTACTTTGGGAACGCTGTAACAGAAATGGATATGAATGGATTTCAAAGGAAGGCAATTATCCCACGTAGGAAACCAAAGTGATTCCATTCAAACATTGCAGTCCCTCCTCGTCTCCTGCCGCTCAGCGTGTGGCTGAGCAGGAAGGCCTGCTGCAGGTGGGGGACTGGCACAAGTGAGGGCTGGGGGGCGGCTGTCTGACACGTCAGGGGCAAAACGTGAACGTGGGAGCGCAGTGCAGAACTGTGTGAAACACAACACGGCAGTCCCAGCAGGATGGCTGCACCCAGGGCGTCTGAAAGCGCGCACAGCGTTTTTCAATGCGAGGAAAGGACACATCCCCGTGCAGCAAGACATCCCCAGAAGCAGCGCAGCGCTTGCATCCCCGATGCTCCGTCTGAGGGCTCGGCAGCGAAGCGCTGCTCGTTCCGCGCTCCTCTTCGGGGCGCTCCCAGCGCGCACCGCGAGAGGGAGCGCGGCCCTCGGCTGCTGCGTGCGGTACCGGAACGCTGCGGGCTGCCCGGTGGGCACCGAACCCACGAGCCCAGATCTGAAGGGAAAGATCTTCTTTTCCTTTTCTTCTCCCTTCCCTTCCCTTCCCTTTCCCTTTCCCTTCCCTTCCCTTTCCCTTTCCCTTTCCCTTTCCCTTCCCTTCCCTTTCCCTTTCCCTTTCCCTTTCCCTTTCCCTTCCCTTCCCTTTCCCTTTCCCTTTCCCTTTCCCTTCCCTTCCCTTTCCCTTTCCCTTTCCCTTTCCCTTTCCCTTTCCCTTTCCCTTTCCCTTTCCCTTCCCTTCCCTTCCCTTTCCCTTCCCTTCCCTTCCCTTCCCTTTCCCTTCCCTTCCCTTCCCTTCCCTTCCCACAAAAATCTGTCCTGGTACCCTCATCTCTGCTTCATCTCAGTGGGCAATAACACCCTGAAGCATGTTTGAAAATACTGGGGCAGAATAAACGATTTTATGCCGTGTTTACAAAGGGCTCTGCCCGCTTGGGGGCAGCTGGGGGCTCCTTTGGGGCGATGAGAGCAGTCAGATCTGCGGGACGCGAGCACTGATGCTCAGCGCGTACTGCGGGGCAGAACCAAACCTGCCCGATCCGTGAAGTTTCACGGTGACTGCTAAAATCAACCCGTCAGCGCTGGGAGGCGCACCGTTTGGATTCAAAGCCCCAGTTCCCGGCGATCATTCTGCGTTTCACGCGCTGTAGGGAAAGCCACACGATGCAATGGTAACGCTATCCCTGCTCCGGGACCCGGACCCGTGCTGTGGACGTCCGGAAGGCTCATCGGGTGTGCGCACCGTGCGTGCGTTCCAGAATCCCTTCACGATGCGCCCCCAGATGAGCTGTGCAGGGTCACGGAGCAGGGACCCCCCCCTCTCGCTCCCCGGGAAGGCGCAGCCCCGGAGCCGCAGCGCTTTCGGAGCTGAAAATAACGCCACAAACGGCAACTCTTTGCGGAGCCGTTCCGCACGCGGAGAGCCGCTAGCTGCGGCGACGAAACGCCGTAACCCCTCCGAACGTGCGCGCAGGTGACGGGGCGCCGCTCGCCCCGCGGGACTCCCCTCCCCACCCCGCCCGCCGCGGGTGTCGCAACCGCGCCCGGCCTCAGCCGCGCCCCGTTCGGGGGGGGAGCGACGCGCAGACGGCGCGCAGGGGGCGCGGGCAGCGCTGCCGGCCCCGCGCCCGGCCCCGGCGGCCGCTCCGCGCCGCGGCGGCTGCGCGGCCGCGCTGCGGCGCAGCCGATGCTGTCGGTGCCGGTGCCGGTGGCGGGCGCGGGGGCGGCGCGAGGCACGGGCTCCCTGCCCCGCCGGCGCACCATGTGCAGCGGCGTCGGCTGCTTCTGGGCGCTGCTCTCCGCGGGGCTCCTGGCCGCCTGCGCCGCCGCCTTCCTCTCCCCGGCCTGGCTGCTGCCGCCCGGGAGAGCCGCCGCCGGCTTCGGCTTGCTGTGGCGGTGCTCCGGCCCGCCTCGCGGCTGCCACGGCTCCGCCGGTCCCGGCGGCTTCGGAGACATCCCCTCCGGCTCCTGGCAGGTGAGCGCCTCCGCCCCGCCGCACCCCGCCGTCCTTCCTCGGGCTCCCCGGTGTTCTCCCGTCACCTCCCCGACACGCTCCCGCCCAGCCCCGGGTTCTCCAGCGTCCTTTCCGTCATCCTTTCTGCGTCCCCCCAGACTTGCCCCAGGCTCCCCGGTATCTCTCATTCCTTCTCCTCGCCGCTTTAATTTCCCACCGTCATCATCTGACCATCCTCTGTTCTGATCCAGACTCCCCAGCATCCTGTCCCCCGGACCTGCCTTAGCATCCCAGTGCTGCCACTAGCATCCCGGCATCACCTTCAGACCCTTAGCTTCCCCTGTGCATCCTTGCATCTCCCGTGCTGCTCCCAACCACCCCTCCATCCCCCGCATCCCCGTCTCCTGTCCCCAAGCACGCTCAGGATGCTCTCCGTGGTGGAGATGCTCGGCTGTGCTCGGGGCAGCGCACGGAAATCTGCCGGGCGCCTCGGTGCGGGTTGGGGGCAGTGCCGGCGCGGTGCACATCTCGGCCGCGGTCCCGGCGTATCCTGGCTGCCGCGTCCCTCATCTCCCGACCTGCCCGGCTGAGCTGCTGCACCTCGTATGGGAGGGAGTCAGGACACAACAACAGGGTTTGGTGCTTCCAGGGTTTGATGCTTCCTGCTGAGGCTCTGAGCATTGCTTGTTGCTCGAGGTTGCTAACCACAACACGCGGATCCACCAACCGGTTCTGGATGTGGGGACTGCTGCTGTTCCTCTGCCTGTCCAACCCCTTCTGGTGGGTTTGGGAGAAGGAGGCCAAGGTCCCTCCGCTTGCCCCGTTGGCTGTAGGGTCGTGTGGTGTCCCGGTGTGACAAAGAGCTGCCTGCCCCTTTCTGTGTGCTCAGGGACCATCAGCACACAAAGCTCAGCGCTGCTGATACAGGCTGTTTGCCCCTCTGCCCTTTCATCCTCTTTTCCTTTCCTTTTATTCCAGCCTTCTCACTCAGAGGTTTTTGCTGCTGCCCCAAGCAGCAAGTTTGGTTCACCCCAGTTTGCAGTGCTGTGGAAATCCCACAGCAGGGGTGAAATCCCCATGGTTGTGGCACAATGTGTGTCAGTAGCTGAATTCCTCAGCTGCTGTGAAGCTGTGCTGTTCTGCCTCCAAGGACTCCAGGTCTGCGTGCGATGCTTAAATCCTGTCACAGTCCTTAAAATTGTCATTAAAAACAAATGTTATGAATTGTGAAGAAAAGAACCGGCTGCTTACAATCCCTCCTACTTATATAAAAACATGCAAAAATGCCATTGTTTCCATAAGTTGGCCTTTGTTCAGATGTTTTTGCAAACGTCATTCAGATAAACACTTCCGAGCAATAACAAACTTTCAAGATAAGGACGGAGCTCAGCAGTGACTCATTGGAATAAGCATCAGCTCCATGCAGCCTCAGCCATCACACAGCCTCACAGCCAGGCAGTGATGGAGCACAGGGCCCCGAGCACCCCAGGTTGGGGCGAGCAATGCTGTGGTACCGAGTGGAATTTGTAGGGGATTTTGGTGATGCATCTTTGTCGCCTTTTATTAATGCCTCACAAATATCGATGAACTACAAGCAGTGCTGTCTGTTGCAGGGAAAAGTGCTCCCCCTCCAGCTTTGTGGCACGGTGAGGGTGAGAATACCTCCAGTGGTGGCTGCTTGGTGGTGTGTGGTATAACAAAACATCTCTGGCAGTTTGGCTCAGGCAGGCTGTGGCATTGGCTCCCTCGTGTGAGTGCCTGCATGTTGGTGCCCAGCAGAGCTGCGAGCTCTGGCTGTGAGATCAAGCAGGAGATTCTTCTTTGGGGAATCTGTGGCTCTCTTTTTCTTTGCTTTCAGAACTTGTGACATCCATTTCCATCCTTTTAAGCAATCCTGCGGGCAGCTCCTTTAAGTGAAAGCCAAGATCCTCATGCGGAGGAGAATCTAGGAGCTTTTGATAGCAACCACCAGCCCTTTGATGGAGTGGCAGAGCCTGGCAGGAAGGGTTTGAAGCTGCGGCTATGGGGAGTGAAGCAAGCAAAGCTGACAGTGGGTTCAGGAGCTTCCAGTGCAGAGCTGGTGGCACGCCTGGGGGGATGCTGAGAGCACACCTGGGAGCATGGCCACCTGCAGTGCATAGGGTGGCAGCAACTCACAGCTGGGATGTGATTCAGTGATGTCCATCTCTGGGCAGTGAGATTCTTTTTGTCTCCTGTGTCACACCATCCCCTGCTCAAATGTGCTGATGTGATGAAGGGGTGGGGGAGCGTTCAGCCCTGTGACTGATGGTTGATGCCAGTTGTGTGTTTGCACTTGGGGGATTATGGTAATCATGCTACAAATGATGCTTTGAATCATGTCTAGAGGTTAATTAACATGCCTTTTTTCTCTTAAGAGGGCCTTCATGTCTGCTTAGGGTTGCTGGCTTTTTTCTGCTGCCTTTTATAATTACTTTGCAGCTTTCTAACGTCTCGGGCACCTTTAATTAACCCTCTCAGCGCTCAGGCTGCGGGGCTGTTGTGCCCACTCCAACACCAGAGATGCTGTTGATGACACCGTGGCAGCTCACACAGGATGAGACCTTTCAGGGGCTGATGGAAACCAGAAGGGGGGGCCGGTGGGAGCCAGGCGAGGAGGTGGCACAGCGCAGGGACCAATGCTGATGTGCACAAACCATTGATGGAAAGGAGGATCTGTGGGAGCACTCTGAGCTGTTGGACGCTGTGAGGTTCAGGCACTGACTGCTCTCTGCAGCCCAACTGGTAGAGCCAGGGAAAACAGGCAAGCTTTGGAGCCCTGGGCTGCTTCCCCAAATCTCACTGTGTTTCTTTTTTTGTGCTGGATCTGCGCTTGCAGATGTGAGTGTAGTTTTTTTTTCTTTCAGTGGGATCATTTGGCTCATGTGCTCCTTTGTCAGTGCTGCACTTCAGAAGCCAGTGCTGCTTCCTTTCAAATTTCTATTTTTATTTTTCCACATAGTCTCCAATTATTTTCAGGCTTTGCCAAGCACATAATCTAAAATAACAGGAGCTGATCAGCCCATGATATTCAAGTTGAAAACACACTGACCATTTGTTTATGAAGCCAGCGAGTGCCCTGCTGGAACACTGTACAAAATAACCCACTTAGGATGAGGTGAAGGCTTTGCACAGCCCAGTGAGTCCTCAGGGTGGGTATTTCCTGGGTTTTCATCCATAGCAGGGTTCAAAAGATTCAGGGAAGCCCATTGAAAATGCACAGAACAACTGCTTTCCCTTCTATTAGAAGATGCTGAAAGGCTGAACGTGCCTTTACTTTCTCGTTCAGCTCAGGCACTGGATTCCTCATGTGCTCTTAGGTTATCCTCAGCTGAGAAATGGCTTCTCATGACAATGATGAGCAGCTCATCTTGGTTCACCTGCCTACAGCCCTTGGGACAAACAAACCCAGGGGGCCCAGGGCCTCACACTTAGGGAAGGGCTTCACCCGGGCACACTGGGTGTGTTTGGGCCAAACATTGCTCCTGGCCTTTGTGAGACACAGAGCAGAGTCAGGTACAGGATAGCAGTGACATGGCAGGACACCGATGGCATGGCATTCCCTCCATTGCCCTTGAGGCTGCAGTGCCTCTGCCTTTGGGCTCCTCTCCCACAAATTCGTATGGAGAAGCAGATGGGAGAGCTGGGAGACCTGCAGGGCGTTCCTGGCCCCAGAAAAAGAGCTTGGCTTTGCTGCCAGTGCTGGAAAAGAGCTTATCCCAAGGAAAGATAATGACTGAGTGAGAGTGAGAAGGTCTGATTCAGTACCCAGCAACAGTGCACCGCTTGCTGCCTAATTAAAATTTCATTAAGTTGGTTCACATCCCTTGATAGAGGTCACAGGCACACCATTGATGTGCTAATGTCTTACTTTTCCCCTTTTTTCCCCCTCTTTCACTACTATCCATCATCCTCTTAGATAAAGCAGTGCCATTAGGAGCTACTTTCCAGTGTCCCCAGATGCAATGGCACTGGAAGAGAGACAGCCACAATTCATCAGACTTATTATCTGTCTTTTACTCTCTCTAATTAAAATAACGTGCTTTTTTTTTTTTTTTTTTCCTTTTCGTTTTTCTTCAGTCAGCTTGAGCATTAAACTTTCTGGTGCTTGTGTTGAAAACTCTGGTTAATTTACAAGTGAGAAGGTTACCTGAAAGGCCAGGATCGTTTTAGCTGTAGCTGTCAGGGGTTATTGCTGAATTTTGAGTGCGAGCAGCTGAGTCAGGGTTGGTGAGCAGAATCCCGTGTTCAGACAGCTCCCATCCACCAAAGCCTTCAGTCGAAGAGAAAGAAAAGAGGAATGGAGACTCATTGCTTCCTCTGTCCCCGTGCCTCAGCACACCCCCCAGCACAGACCACTCTTAGACACCGGCCACCCCCAGCAGCATTCTGCCCCGAGCCCCGTGCGACTGCAGGGCCGGTTTAGGGAGGTTGGACCGGCTCCCACACCCCCATTGGATGACAGCAGGCACTGCCAGTGCTGCTGGGAAGGGAGCAGCATCCGCATAGGAGCGGGATGGAGACGGAATATCAAATAGGAAGGAGAAAGCTCTCAGATGGTGCTAAAAGGAAGGTAATTGCTGGGGAGGAGAAGATGAGGACGTGTGGGATCCTCTTCCTGGCTGCCACTTTAATGCCGACCAGATGGCGGATGTTTGTTTCTGTGACTCGTGTGGGGGAAATATGAACAAGCTGTGAGCCTCGATCCTCCCACCTCTGGGCACGCAGCTTCCTGCAGTGACAGATGTCTCTTCCTTGTGCCCAGGTGGACATTCGTGGTTCCCTACCAAGATCTCCTCTCACACCTTTGCCCAAAGTAAAGGCACTGCTGTTTCAGGACAGGGCAGCCTCACCTGCTTTGGTTTGGATGGAGAGTGGGGATTTCACAGCAAAACTCACAGAAACTTCTGGGAGGAGCGACAGACCTCGTGGCCACGTGGTGCTGATGGCAGTGACTCTTACAGGATGCAGGAGCATGCAGATCCCTCCGGGATGGACAGAAGGCTGCTTTGCTGCCCCATTGCTGCTGCTGCCCTGCAGAGAGACACCAGCCTGAGCATTTGCAGTGGATTCCCCCAACCTCCTTCCTTTGTTCTCCAACAGCAGTGGCGATGCCTCCTCCACCCAGCAGCACCTCAAGCCCCACAGTAGAGCTGGGCCCAGCTGCCAACATTTGCAACCACCGCCCAGCATCCTTCTTTCCTTTTCTAAGTTAGCCCCTGCCTTCCTTTCCTAATTATTATCTGTATTTACATTCTGCCCTCCTTTCAAAGATGCTTGAGCACTTCAGCACGACTGTGACCTTACCTTCAGCCTGCTGCTGCAAACTGTGGCCCCATCGGAGATGACAGCTCTCAGGATGGTCAAGCTGCAATTAATAAATAGCATTAATGAACAAACGCATGGCACGGCATATCCCAGCACACAGGGCATGATGGCAGGAGCTCTGCCCAGCTTCCCTCTCAGCAGGAAAGATCCAACGCAAAGGACAGAGCTGTTTATCTCTGTCAAGCCAAAGACTGGATCCCATTTCTCAGCACCAACACACTGGAATTTGTTCTCTCCTTTTGCCCTTTTCACTTTAAGATGCAAAGATCACGGATGCTGGTTTCACAAGATGAGCTAACTGTATTTTAAACTTTTCATTGAGGACATTAAGTGATTCTCCCTGGGTGGCTGTTGTGTGACATTTTAATTTTGTCTTTTTTGGTGAATGAAATGGCGTCCTCAGCCGCTTTATCGCTCAGTGAACGGCACAGCTACAGCACGCGTCAGATCTGTAAAATATGAAAATAACGGGTAGGGGATCGCTGTTAATCAGAATTTACTACGCTACACAACGACATATTTACAGTCCCACCAGGGGCCTATTCATTTGTTTGGGGATAAACAATTAATCTCCCTGGGAGTGGGAGCAGAACATCCGACGTGGCTTTATGTATCCCAGGGTGAGGCAGCCGCAGAGCACGAGGCTCTGCTCCTCCACGGCCAGCCCTGCGGTGGGAGCTGAGATTTCTGCTGTGACAAATGGGCTTTTCCTGCTGCTGCCTGCGCTGGCCCTGGTGCACGGTGTTTGTTTTCCCTGCTTCCCATCTATTTTTGGTTTTCAGCCTTCATGTCCTGTTTCCTGCATCCTCTCCTTTCCTCTCAAAACACAGCAGACACGGAGAGCAGAGAGGGCTGTGCAGCAGGGGGGAGAGGCATTTCAGCTGCTATGCTTTGGTACCTTTGCTCTGTGAACTCTTTCCAGCTTAGGGCTGAATTTCCTTAGGAAGCAGCTGTTGATCTGCAGCTGTGATTCCAGCACCAGGCAGGAGCACTTGGGTTCCTTTCCCAGACAAGCACCTGCAAAGGGAACAACAAAAGCAGAAGTTCTATTTCACAAGAATGTATCCGGAATTATGGGTGGTAACACCAGCACGTTGGAGAAAGAAGCTCACAGCCTGTGTTTTAGCAGCTCTAAATATCACACATCAGCAACTTGCAGCGGGGCTGCTCACAACCTGCCCTGAAACTCCCTCTGCCTTTCCCATTTGCCACCCATTTTGGGGCAGCTGCAGCGCTGCGATCACTTGAACCACACTGCAAAACCACTCTGTTCTTTTACACCCTCTGCCCCAAGGAGGTCAGCATCCCTCACCCTTCAGTGTCAGACTGCTCACCATTTACCCGTGCCTCCTGCCCTCTTGAGTTTCAACATGCTCGTTCAAAGCATGACCTTAATCCCTTTTGCAAAGGGATTGGATGGATTGGGTGATTTTTTGGCCCCTCACTGGATCCACAGGTGATCAACCTGTACAAACCCCAGTGGCGGCACCTGAACCAGACCTGGCTCCTGTTTCAGTACAGCACACACCCGCACGGACCCAATTTGTGCCTTTTCTGCCGGCACAGGAAAATACTTTGTGCCTTTGCACCTTTCTGTGCAGATCAGCAGCCACAGCAGCTCGTAGATTGCTTCCAGCAGGAGCTGCAAGTTTTTAGGGGAGCTGTGCCAACATAATTATGAACATAGATCATTAAAAACAATGCGCTTCACACAGGAGAGAAGCAGGCCTGCTTCACAAGACCCCTTTCTGCTGAAAAATTCATCGCTCTAAATAATTAATGGTCCCTGCAAAGGAGGGTGGTTTGCATGTTATTGGGTGAAGGATGAAATTCAGGCACCGGTCAGAACAGTCCTATTTTGTTGAGTCTGCATTCCTTCACAGCTCTGCTGCCCTCTGGGTGCTCCTGGGGTGAGCGCAGGGCCAGCAGCCAGCTATGGCCACATGGTCCCCAAAGCAGCACTCTGTCACTGTGGGTCTCCAAAGGCTCTGGAGAGGAGCAGGTTGCACCGCCGCTGCCTAAACACCCTCCCCATTTCTTTTAGTAGCTGTATCTTGCACTGCTGTGTCATTTCCATCACATGACAGGAATTAATTTATTGCTAGGACAGCATTTGCATTGCATTTGTGATGTAAAAATAGCTCATAAAGAACATGCTGATTTTTAATCGCTGCACAGCACTGGGGAAAGCACTGTCAGTGGGGTGATGCCTGGCAGCATCCTTACCAGAGCCTCCTTGCCTCTGTGGCATGGCACAGCCAATCTAGGCTGTGAAATAACAGGACTTGGTGTCCCAGCAGCAGTGCTAGGAGCCAGTGCTGCCAGGAGCTGAGTGCTGGAGGCACCTGCCATAGATCCTCTCACCTCAACCACACCATGCTGACACGTGTCCTTGATGCTACAGGGGCCACCTTGCTGCCAGCACCATCCTGGTGACAGAGGCAGAAATGCCACCTGCAGTGGGGGCAGAAAATGCAGCAGTTCTGTGCTGCTATCAGGCACCTGTATGCAAGGTTTTTTTTTTTGCTGCAATTTAGTGCTTTTCCTAGTTTTAGGTCCTGATGCCACTTGCACGTAACAACCAGAATATGAAATAGCAGAACTGGGCAGTGGCTGGGACAGGCTGTGGGCCATGCTGCCTCCCCTTTCCCCATCCAGAGAACGCTGCTAACCAGGCACTCCCCTGGCCATCAGCAACACCACACAGCACAAATGGGGTTGAATACCAGCCCTAAAGATCCAAGTTCTGTTGCAGAAGCAGCTAAATCAAAGTCCAGAGAATGTTTTGGTGGGGCCAGCTGCCATTAAACCTTTGCAACAATGGGTTCCCCACTAAGGAGCATCAGCTGGCAAAACACCTTCTCATCGCTGGGCTCACAGGGGCAGGCACCGTCACGAGATTTGTTTCAGCTCTCAGTGGAGGCACTGACATGCATTGCAGGCACCTAATAGCACTTCTATTAGTGACGTAGCCCTTCATGCATGTAACACATTTGCCATTATCACCATCATCTGAATGCTAATAACCACTGGGACCAGGTGATGAGTGAACCACGGGCTCACAATTCAGTGGTGAATTTGAGCAGCAGGAAGAAGGAGAACTGGGAGAAGCACCCACACAGAGCCTCCACTTCTTACTCCAAGATAGGAGAAAGGGAATTGGTGGGGAGGTGCTGTGGGGATGGCAGGGAACCCCCTTGCTGACTGTCCTGTGTGTCCTTCCAGACGAGCGCCGTGCTGTGTGCGGGAGGCTGTGCCCTGCTGGCCCTCAGCTCGCTGCTGGCCATCGTCGCCATCCTGCTGCCCAGTGGAGCCTGTGAGAGGAAAGTCTGCACTCTGGCCGGCTACATGCAGACAGCAGCAGGCAAGTGATGGGGGCTTTGCTCTTTGGGGTGGAAGGACAGGGCTTCCCCAACAGCAAGAGGTGCCTGCAAACACTAGCCAGTGCTGGGAGGGAAGCAAACCGACCTTCTCTTTACCAACTGCTTACTGCATGCGTGCTTATAAAGTCTGTTAGAAATTGCCTCTGTGTAAGAGAACCTGGGCTGCAGGTCCTGCTCACTGCCCTCTGTACAGACTCCTGTGTAGGAGTCCATGATGAGCAGCAGAGAGCAGGCTGCCACTGCACCTCCTAGGGTACTATCAGTGCCAACTGGGACGTCTGCCATCCCACTTGTGCAAATCTTCGTGGTTAAAACTCTGGACAAACTCCTTCCATAAGCCTTACACCCAAGATGGGCCATGTCCTGCACTACTCACGCCTGCTGAACTGGATGTGACCCATGCTGGGAATACAAAGCACCCACCTTATGTCTGTGCCTGAGAATAACTCCTTTCCTTGGAGAATCCTTGAGCCTGCCAGGCTTCGTTATCAGCCCCACAACATTCAAGCTGCTTTTGGAGGAAATCCTGTTAGGCGCCGTCTCTGCTGCGACTCATCCCCCAGCAGCCGATTGGGGAACAGATGGAGGGGCCTTCAGTGATGGCTGCTGGAGCTCAGCCACACTGTGGGCAAGCAGAGGCAGCTGCTCGCACCCCTCCCCATCATCCCATCACTGGTGACCAACACATCCCTTAGAGGCCACAGTGTAGGGGTTCCCATCACCTCCCCATGTCTCCTGGGTGTAGGATGGGGGAGGTCTCAGCCCCAGCCACGATACTGATCACCTGGCAGCTGGCTCAAGAGGCCCTGCAGGTGATCTCCATGTGGGACAGAGAAGGGGTCATCCTACACCACTTTTGCCCAAAGGAATTGGATCTGCAATGGGAGAGACAAGCAGGGGCAAAACAAGGGATGAGGAAGCAACCCTGAAAAGGAAGCTGACTGTGTCAGATAAATACAGATAAGGCACTCTGGGGGGGTTTGGTTGTATTGAACAGGCTGTAAATAAACTGTAGGCTCTAAGCATTATTGACAAATGAAAATTTACTGGGTACGTTCAAGCAAGCTAATGGGCTACTTTAAGCCCTGGTGGTGCCTTGCTAAGCATTTTGTATTGTGCTTTTTAATTTCGGTTCACTGCGGATTAATTCCTATTCAGAGTGAGGCAGCCCTGAGTCAACAGAATTAAGTGGTTTAATGTATTTGGATTCAGAAACGCCGTCCCCTTCTCTGCTGTAATTTTTCTCCCTGTTCCCCCCGCCTCTCTCCAGAAGGAAGCTCTTCATTAGAAATCAGCTGCAGCCCAGCAAGCAGTTGGGTGACAAGCAAGGGAAGCTCCTCCCCAAAAATCACATTATCTCAGAGCACAGCAGTTATTTGAAGATAGATGAATTTGCATGGCAGAGAAGGAAAGCAGAATAAGAGCAGTTTTCTGGCAGTACTGGCTCTGCTGGTGTAAAATCCCTGTGAGATGCCAACAGCAGTGGGACAGAGAATGGGGCCGTGTTTCTCCCAATTCCCCAGATTTTCCTTCAGCACAATAGGCCCCACAGGTGCCATCCTGTCTGCCTTTAGTTATTCCCCCTGAAATCAGAATTTTGCTCCCATTTCCTAGATGCATTGGGCCAGGAACACAGAATCTGCCACGGAGTGCCTGAGCAGAGGCACCAGCAGAGCCAAATGAGTCCCACAGAACCCTGAGCCATGCTCACATCAACCCAACTGCAGACAGCAGCACAAAGCACATCCTGAGAGCAGCCCACAGCACAGGGCAGTGGGGCTCAGGCTTCATTTTCAGTGCTTTCCTGCTAGTTTTAGAGAGCCAGCTTTGCCAGCTCCAGATGGAAGGAAGGTAGAAACTTCACGCACACAGAGCCGAGCATTAACTGCAGACACAGGCATGCCATCAAGGGTCAAAGTGAGGCTAATTGCCACCATTCACTGAACACGTGACTCCTGATGCTTGGTACACACTCCATAAAAACAAAACAAAATAGAACAACAACAAAAAAAAATCCACATCCTTGCAAATATTAAGAGGATGATCCTTAATGAAAGAGCAAACGAGGAGCAGAGCAACAGAAAGAGGAATATTTGCTCAGCTCTCATCCTTCATGCAAAGACAAAGCTGCCTATGTGAGATTAGAGACATGGCTTACTCACCAAGCATAGTGCCATCTCACTAAAATTAAATTTCTGTTGTAGCACTTCACCTCCAGCCCAAATTGCAGCATCCTTAGGAGCTGGGTAGCTACCTGGCCCCATTTATATATGAGGTCAGCAGGGTGGCTCCAACTCCCCAGCTGCAGCCCATCATTGCTAGTAGAGAGGGAGAGCAAATGAGTGCACAGCTGAAATCCTGTCCTGGTCCCTTATCAGCTAAAGCCTCTTTGCTGGCATTTTAAAAGTAGAGGTTAATTCCAGGGGGAAGTGTCTTTTAAGATGAAGTTGTAATGGAAGGACTGGGGGCTGCCAGCTTCATTCACCAGCCATGTCCTGAGGAGCTCCCAGTCTGAGAATCCACACAGTTCCCAGCAGCGTTGCCACATCAGGGTTGAAGATTAGAGCCCTGTGCCACTGCAGATTGGCTGTGGCTCTCCATTTCTATCCACACCACAAGCAGGTTTTGCTCTGATGAACACAGCCTGTTGTCAGTGCCAAAAGCTCAGGTCCTTGAGCTGCAGAGTGGTGCAAGACCCCCTCAGAAATATTCCTACATCATTGCTGGGGGAAAATCCCAAAGCACACCTCCCCAGTGCTGTGGGGAATGAGGCTGGGCCAAGTAAAACCTATGAAACAGCAAATCCATCACCTTTCTGCATTTGGGGCTTGTGGGACTAAGGAAAGGATTATGGGTCTGCTACTGGATTAAGTTCCTGGCAGTCTGCTCTGGGACCAAAGCAGATTGCATCTGCTGCTTAGGAAAAGCAACAGATCTTTGTAGATGAATGTGGGGACCAGCAGCCTCTACCCAGATCTCATTCTGCTACCCTCTGCCCTAAAAGCTTGATGAGAGCCCGACTGCTGCTGCTTGGGAACTCTTCATCCTATGCTTTCCAAGCAAAGATCTCCTGCTTTGCAGGAGAGGCTGATCTGCTGGGGGTTGGTGCCTGGCTGCACCCCCACTTGCTCACCTCTAATATTGCCTGCTGTCACGGGTTGGCCTGGTTTCCATGATGAAGAGCCAAAGGGACCCATGGATCCATGCCCCGGGAAGCAGGGGGGGAGCAAAAAAGGGAAAAGGTAGGAAGATGGGCCTCAAACAAGCTAAAGGAAAAAAAGCTTACTGAATGTAGTAGCAGAACGTGAGATAATACAATATAATACAGTAAGATTGAAATGGAAGCAAATCAAATAAAATGTGAAACAGAGAATTTCTGAAACTGAAGTCCTTACTCTAATGCTGTAGGCTGAGCAGCCAGGGAGTAGAGAGGGCAGTTCTGTGACTCCCAGCCTGTTTTATCTTTCCCTCCAAATGGAAAATGGGAACAGAAAAATGAAGTCTTCTGGGGGCTTTACTTCGTTCTTCTCTGCTGAGAACAGGTGACCAGAAATCATTAAGTTCGACAATTAATGCTGCAGTTCCTTGGATTATTGACAATCTAGGGAGCTGCAGCACGAACTCTTTAACTCCCAGCACACTACAGGATGTTATGGTGTGGAGTACTGATGTAAACCCCTGAAGCCATGACACCTGCCCAGCATGGCAGGAGGGGGCTGTAGAGCTCCACACCTCAGTGAGGGCACAGGCAGGATTGAGTACGAGCAAAGCCTTTGGGGAGAGTTTTGCTTTCACCCCACGCTGCTCTCTGCCTAATCCCACCACCATCAGCTAACTGCTCAAGACAAGCCAAACGCTGAGGGCAGATGATCCTGACCTGCCTGTGCCTTTCTAAGGCTCTTGTAGTTTCAAAGAGCCATTTCCCAGCATCGCTACGACAGAATCAGGGCAGTCATGAGACTCACAAGACAGGCAAAAGCCCCTAGTTATGCAATTCCCTTACTTAACCTCATTTAAATCCCAAGTTTTATGGCAGTGCTGAGAGCTTCTTCCTGCAAAATCTGATTGCATTTGCAGCTGAAGTCCCTCTTGCTGACGGAAGCAGAGCAGTGGCACCTTTGGGATCGATGATGCCCTGTTTTTCCCAGCTTGTGCAGAATGGCAAACAGCACCGACCTCCACATCCCTATTGATTTCTCAGATTAGTATCGATCAGCCTGGTGACATATAGGTAATGTGTAATTAGTGACTTAGATAACAATAGTACCAAGGTGGTGTATGGGTACTCCAACCTCTGCTAGCATCTCCAGGGTGGCAGCAAATAGAGAGACATGGCTGCCTGCTAATTGCTGATCTACTATTAAAACCAAAGATCCTTCGTTCCCTGCTGCCCTCAATACCACACAAAGTGTTTTTGGAGCACTGTCTGATGGGGCTACTGGGCAGTGGGAACATGCCCACTGCTTCCAGGGTGCCAGCAATGTCACAGCAGCACCTCTTTGAGGAGATATCAAGGGAGCAAGCAGCTGTCCAGGCAGGGGATGGGTTGGGACTGGGGGATCAAAGCGGCAAGCAATGCTAAAAATGCTCAGGGCTAAAAATATTCAAGAAGACAAGAGTCACCAACCACACAGACTTTCCCACCCTGCTCCCACGCAACCCAGCCCAGGCCTGACGCCTCTGGTTTCCTGATGGACATTTTGGCATCCGTGGCAGCCTGGGAGCCCCATCCTGTTGACACTGAGGGTTGTGTATCAGCAGACAGCCCTGGGATTAGGAGGAGGAACTTGGTGGTGGCAGCATAGGGGAGCAGCACCCCAGTGTCCTGGCATTGTCCAGGCAGCAGTTTCAAATCTGAACTGAGAGATCCAGCTCCTGCGTCCCAAGGACAGCTCTTCTGTTTTCCCTTGTCTTTCTCTGGAAAGAGCAGTGCTCTCATGACACTGGAAGTAATTAATGGCAGGGTTCTTGCCATTGCTCAGGTCCCCATTGCCAGTTTCACGCTCTCCACATTTCACATTTTGTCCTTGCGATAGTGACAGTAACCAAAAACACTGGACATGCTGGTTCCTTCCCTGCACAAGGCTTTTCCCCCTGCTTGCTTTAATTACATTAGTGATGTTGAAGAAATGCCTGTGGCACATTATTATTCAGCCAGCAAGCTCCTGCTGATTCCTGCCACAACTGATAAAACCTGTGGGCAGGGCCCCATGCTACTATGCTGAGCCCCAGTACTGCAATGCAGCCATGTGCTGCTTCACTCTGGTTCCGGTGTCACTCACACCTGACATAGCCCTGCTCATCTATTTTCATTCACACTGATGCAATTCTTCAGTTTACTGGTTTTTGGTGGGTTTTTTTTGCCAAGTTGCTCCAACATTCAGTTAGCTAAAAGCAGGCTATGAAGCCCAGGAACCCCCTGCACAGCAGCGCAGTTGGAACAAGTGATCCTTGAGGTCCCTTCCAACCCAAGCCATTCTGTCAGCCTAAGACTCCACCTTCTTGCTCATATTCCCACCATCATGGGCCTGAGGATGGCAGGTCCTGAAGCAAGATCAGCACTGAGCCCTGCAGCAGTGCTGGGCACTGGTGCCAAAGCATGGATGATGTAGGTTCATGAATCTGTGTTTTTAAAGATGGGGTGAAGTGCCACATTATAAACTATTGGCTTTTCTTCCATCTCCATTCCAACTGGTGCCACCCAGGAGGACAACCTTGCCAGGTCTCCAGTTCGATGAGCAATGAAAGTGGGACCACAAACATTGACTTGCCTTCGGCTTTTCACTGAAGGAAATTTGTGTCTGCTGTGAGTCCTTTCTCCACGCTCTCTTCGGTGTGTGCACTCAAGTGACAAATCATTTTGGTTTGAGAGCTGTTTCATTATTTTACTTTCAAAACTTGAAATTTTCAGAGCCAGGCCATTAAACTTAGCAGTAAAAGAGAGAGGGCCCGGCAGCTTTCCTTATGGCCAGGCTCCCTGCCACAGGGTAAGGCTGGGTTGGCCTTCCCCGGGGTGTACGCTCAATTCACACAAGGTGCTGAGCTGCTGAAGGAGAAGGGATCAGATCCTGGCTGTGCTGTACAGCAGTTGGTTCCTATCCCAGCCTTGTGAGGTAAGACAGGGCTTCATTTCCATCTGATGCCTGGACAGCTTCTTTGCTTAGATCTCAAACTCTGGTTTGGTTTTCTGCAAGGTATAGTTTTGCCATTTGGCACACAGATGCTTACACGGTGCCTCTGTCCTCCCTTAGGGCTGGGGATACAGCAGCAGCAGTGTGCATGGGCTGGTGCTGGGAGCAGCGTATTTCTCAATAGCCTCATTTAGAGAATAAACCAGCCATGTCCTTTCATTGGTTTCTTGGAGAGGAGCAATACATTTCCAGTGGCATCAGTGACAGAAGCAATATCCTTTCATTGCTATCATTGGAAAAGAGCAGTTTCATGCTGTAAGAAAGACTAGTTCACTTGTACAAGACGTATTTTCTATTCCCTTAAACCTGGGGAAATGTTTGTCATATTAATATGTGGTAGAATAGCTTCTCTTTCAATAGATCTCCTAGGGATTTGAGCTTAGACCAGTTATTGCACTTGAATGCAGTAACTGTACTTAAAGTGTATGTTTTGTTAAAAATAACAGTGCTTTGTAATAAGTGGAAACAACAAATAACCAGCCTGACTGGGGCTCCAAAAGTACCTCTGTGAGCACCGTGCCAGACATGTTTCAGGTGGGAAAATCCATGCTTCAGTTTCTGAGGGAATTTGACTTTTGCTTTTCCCCCTGACTTTGACTCACATCTGTATCTCCTGTTGCTGGGAAGATGGACACAGACCCTCAGGGCCACCCTAATATCCTTGCTGAATGAATGGAGGTCCTAGCTGAGTTTCCTGCATCTCAAAGCAATTGTGCAGAGGCCACATCATTTTTCTTGACTCATTTGCTGGACTGAACATCAAGTGTAAAACAGGAAAAAACCATTCTCATCCTCTCTGAGGCTAACAGGATGCTTGAGAACAGCACGGGCTGTTTGCAGTTTGGTTTGCTCAGGAGAAGAATGCATTAATTTTAGGGAGCCTTTGTCAACCTGGGCATCCAACTCTCCTTTTCTATCCATGTTGAAGTATTTGGCCTTTCAGTGTGGTGTTCTAAACTGATGTTAGCACCACAGAAGACAGTCTCTAGTCTTCGTGTCAGACAAATGTTTGCTGGGCTGTGGGATTCTGGCTGTAATT